TAGGCTTCTCCTGTGTTCTGCTTATTTCTTCTCTCATCCCTCACCCTCTCACGTTTGGAACACAGGGAGTGAGCAAGAAAAAGCCTAAGGAATCTAGAGTCTTTTGAAGGACTTTACTCTGTCAATAAATTACGTTCTCTCCTGAATCTTCTATGTCTCTTTTTCTACTTGCCTTTCTCCTTTTACATGGAAACATACCTATATATCTCCTGTTAAAAAACAAAAAAGGAACACTAACTCCTCATTCCCCATTCTTGTCTAGGTTTCACACTGTTTCTCTCATTCTTCTCACACATAATGTGGGTAAATTCCTCTCACCTTATTGATGACTCTTTAGTTACTTCCTCTCTTTGGAAACTTACCTTCTCTGGCTTTTGTGATATTATTGTTCTTAGATTCCCTTCTCTCTCTCTCCCCCTTTTTTTTTTTTGCTGAGGAAGATTAACCCTGAGCTAACATCTGTGCCAATCTTCCTCTAATTTATATGTGGGTCACTGCCACAGCATGGCTGATGTGTGATGTAGGTCTGCGCCCGGGATCTGAACCCATGAACCCGGGCCACTGAAGTGGAGTGTGCCAAACTTAACCACTATGCCATGGGGCCAGCCCCAGATTCTCTTCTCTCTTGCCACTCACTCAGATTCCTCTGTCTCATCTTTAAATGTCATTTTCCAGAGGTCTAGCTACTATGTATTTCCTTCCTCACTTACACACTCTCCTTTGGGAGTCAGACATTGATTTACCTATGTCCTTTATATATGTTGTAACTACCAAATATTAAATTCACTGGAAACTTCTCTTCTGAGAGCTCCAAACCCATGTATATTCAGTTGCCTACTGGATATCTACACATGAATCTCCCAAAAACATCTCTAGTTGAACCAATATAAACAAACTCATCATTGTCCCTCCAAATTGTTCTTCCTCCTGTACTTTCTATATCAAAATGTCCTATCATTGTCTAATTGAGGAACTCCATGAATCATCTGCAAATCCTTTCTCCCATTCACCATGTCCAATAGTACAGGAAATCCTGTTGTCCATACTTCAGAATTTTTGTTGAGCTACTTTCTTCTACTTGGTCTCTTCTCCTTTTGTCTCTCTCCTTTCACTGACACTGAATCCTCCTTATTTCTTACCTCTTATTTAGACCCTCCTGTCTCACTTTCTGTTCTCCCTCTAAGCCACTATCTACTTGGCTGTCAGACAAATTATTTTATCATGTTCATATACACTTACTTGATCTTGTTATTCTCTAACTTCACAATTTCCATTATCCCTCCATTATTTTGAGAATACATTCTAAATGCTTCAGAATGCTATTTAAGACCCTTGTTCTGGCCTATTTACCCAAATTTCTTCGCTATCATTTTTGCCCCCATCCTGTACCATTTGCTGAACAAACCTTGGACTCCAGCCATTCAAACTACTTGCACTTGCTGAATATGACATGTGTTACATTCTCTCTGCCTTCATTGTTACTTCCTTCCCTTCTCAATTTTGTCAAATTCCACTTGTCTTTAAAATCTCACTTCAAGTAGCTCCTAGTCCAGAAAACCTCCCCTGTCTGCCTCCCCGCACTACTACCTAATAAACTTTAAGTGACTCTCTGCTGGTTCCTGAAACATATCTCACTTTGGGATTCAGGACACGCTACCCAAAAACATGGCACCTTGGCATATTGAATATTTTAAGCTGAAGGAGTTTGAGAAATGGCATGTGCAGGAAGGACTTTCTGACCTTGCCTGCATGTGAGAGTTGCTTTCCCTATACCTGGAGGAAAGGAGCATCCTAATCTCTGAAGACAAGAGACAGAGAGAGGAATCTGAATGAACAGGTTTTGTTGTTTCCCCCAGTTTACTACATGCAACTTATACTCTTTGTCCTATCATATCTTTCCATGACTTTCCACTCTTTATTAAACTTAGCATAAGAACACTCAGGTTTAACCATTTCTTTGGGTCGCTCAGGTTTAACCATTTCTTTGGGTCTTCAGTTCTATATGAAGGCTCTTGTGTCATGTAAAATTTATATTAAAATACATTTGTATGCGTTTCTCTTGTTAATCTCTCTTTTGTTACAGGAGTCTCAGTCAAGAACTTAGAAGGGTAGAAGAAAAAGGTATTTTTCCTCCCCTATACCACCATGTTCTTGTTCTTCTCTGCCAGACCTAGTTTTAAGCCCAGCAAGATGGTAAAATACATATTTTTTATTTCTACATCTCCAGCTTTTAGTGTCTTCTCCAGCAGGTAGTAGTTCTGGTTGAATGGGTTAACAAAGAGCAAACAACAAATTCTTCCTGGTGGAGCCTCTGGAGTTCTATGTTCGTTTCTTATTACATGAGAAGGCTATATCCTCTGTAACTTTCTCTAAAAGTTTATAGTACCTTCTGGAGACATTTAATGAAATAGTGCTTAGTGATTATGTTTGTGGGCTTGACAATTTACCAAGAAAGAGACTTCAATAAAGAATTTGGACATATGAGTGTTTTCCCTTCTGTAATTTTCATTTTCACAATGAATGGGATCTTTGCTTATTACCTAGTCATTATAATCTTCTAATTCCAGGTTTGAAAGGCAGAGTGCTCATGTATTTTAGGAAAACCAGGTAGCACCTCATATCTATGAAAAACAGTCCTTGCTCCTATAAAGTGATCTTGACAGCTTGTCAGTGGGGCAGAGAAGACTGGACGGGTCCTGAATTGCTTTTCAGCCAAAACAAGTTCACCTCAATGAACACTGGCAGTGACAGTCTCAAGTTGGAATGCACGTTTTAGATCAGTTTAGCGTAAATCAGAATTCAGGCATGAGTTAAGTTCATTTTTTTACATATATGTTCTTTGTCTCTGTTTCTCAGCTAAAAGGATGTATAACACTTTTTACTATTTGTCAGTGTTGGGAATTATATTTGAGAAGAGATGATTCATTTATTCTGGGTTTTAGGACTTGTTCAGTAACTGGAGAAATAAGATAGTCTGATCTGAATTAGAAAATGGTGTCAGTGGTCTTTGCTCCTACCTGTTGCCTCCTGTAATTTATTGTTCTTAATGTAAAAATGGAGCACAATTATGCTTATCTAATAGCAGTAATAAGAATATTAGTGTTTATAATATTTTTCAAATATATGCACCAGCTCAGAAGCAGCACAAAGTATATTAGAATAACATGGTGTGCATCATTCATTTTAATGGTTCTGTGAATTTCTTTCTAGTTTACACCCTCCTCCCATTTATTTGTTTTTTGTTTCTTGATATTCATTTAAGTTTTTTTTATCATATTCATACAGCATGGTTCAATAAATATTCTTCCTTATTTTCATTTGTGTGAAGGTATCCCTAGCTTTTGTGTATTTCATTTACTAACTAATTTGTTTCACATGTAAATCAAAGCCATTTGTTTTGCTCCAAAGCGTTTCATCTTTTTTAAGACTGACTTTCAGTGTTCCTTCTTCCTCTTTGGTTTATCAGCTCATTATTCTTTTATACAGTCTTCTATACCTCATTTAAATCCCTTTTCCGTCGTATACTTTTTTCTGCATTTAATTTTTCATTCTGTTATATTTAAATTTATCTGAAAAACTGTTGGCGACTTTGTAGTGCTATTAGAATTCTTATCTGTCTTAGGAAAATAAGACAAATGCAGTTAAATCTTCATGATCAAAGAAGCACTTGTGAAATACAAAGTTCATCTTCAAAATAGCACTTTTCTACACCACTCTTGGAGGTGGTCTATTAAAGGAGAGAAAATACTTAGTACTAATAAAATCTGAAGGGGATAAATAAGCAACAGATAGATCCGCATATCATATATATAGAAAGAGAAGTTCAAATTCAAATATAAATCATTTCCTATCATTCTTACTAGTGTTTTCTTATATTTGCATGGCAGAAAAAGAATACACACTTTAGGTCTTTTTACAACATGAGGATGAATAAATGAAATATATGAAGGCATTATAAATTAAATTATATTGATTTGAATGGGGAAAATTGGACAGTATTTGGTAATGTCTCTAATGCAAGGAAAAAGTAAGATAGACCATTGATTTATTTTTTTCTAAAATGTCCTGACCTCCATAGCTTGTATTTTAAGATCTCCATTGCATTAATCTAAAGTATATACATGAAACAGATTTGAACTAAAATCCTTCAATCATAATTTTAATGCTCAAAACCGTTCCTTTAAAACTTAAGCCGTCATCCACTAATTCCAAATCTAAGAGTCTAGCTAAGGAAATGAAATACTTTTAAGCTTTATGCACTAAGATATTTGTTGCAGTGTAATTTGTAGTGGTTAAAGCTGATGACATCGTAACCATCTTTTAAAAAAAGAGAATGGTCAAGTGTATTATGAGGTGTAGAGATAATGGAATATTAAGTGACATTAAAGTGCAATGTTTATAAAATACTTGTAAAGGTATGGGAGAGTATTTATCATTTTACCTAAGTAAAAAAGATATGTGAATTTTATATAATATGCTTTCAACTGTGTGAAAGAATTTTAAAAGACTAGAAAGGGATTCATCAAAATGTTGAGTGATTATCCTTGAGCAATGGAATTATGAGAAATTTAAAAATATTTGTCATGTTTTCTTGTATTATTTCCAATATTCTACATTTAGCACACCTTTAGTATTATGTTAGGAAGACTTGTAAGCTAAAAGAAAGGTTAGTTTAGTATATTCTATTTAGAAAATAATTTTTAGTGGAATTTTCACAAAAATTAAGCAAACATTTACCTTTATATTGGATAAGACATCCATGTAATTTTTCTTTCTTCGATTTGTGGGTATTTCAGCATATTAAGAGGTTGACCACTAACGGTTCATTGGTTTTGTAATTTTGAGGTGTGATGGAAGGGTGGACATGGTAGGAGCTAGGAGGCAGAATAAAGGTTTCAAGGCAGTTTAATGAATTATCTGAAGCTTGGATATAGAATGTCGGTCTGTGGCCTTAACTTGCCGGAAATCTGATAGAACATTCTCTTTTCTGATTTCTGCAGTATCAAGTCATGGGTGGATAAGATGCAAGAAGACCTTGTCACGCTGGCAAAAACAGCAAGTGGAGTCAATCAGCTTGTTGATGTGAGTAAAATCCCAAGAAACTTGTTAATCGTTTCTTTAATTTGAATGCAATTCTATCTTCTGGGAAACTGTATTTCTATATTATAAACAGCATGATTTTTCATGTGAATCTGATAGCGAAATTCTGAGAGAAACCCTTGGTACTGCTAGTTATTGTGAACAAGAAATACCATCCCTAACAATTAATGAAGCATTCTCACCACACTTTACAGTGTACGTACAGCCCTCCCTAGATCAGTTCATGTGATGTGTAGACTCCCTCCAAATTCAAGGTGGGATGCTTTGTTTCCATTTTTCAGAGTCTATTTTAGAACCTCTCACATGGTGGTGACTTCAAGTCCTGTGATGGATTCTTTTGAATATCCTCAGTGGGAACATATCTTCATGCTTTGAGGGTAGATTTTATTTTTAAAAATATTTGAAAAGTATTTACAGCTATGTCTAGAGACTAGAATGAGTCATTGAAATGGGTAATAAAGGATTTGGTGCAAGAGAAGGAGACACTATAAAAGATGGGTTTTTTTTTTTTTTATGATTTATGAATGACTATGAAAGTCACTCTAAAATGATTTTTGAAAAGATAGCAATATATAAATATGTGTACAGCATCTTAAATAGATTATTTTCCTTGGGTAAGAGCATTTACCCAAGCATGTATAGATTCTGTAAGATTTATTAAAAATTAAATGTTATTTCTTTTAGAGTCTCACTGCTTTCATTTCAATGTAAGTAATATAACAATTTGAAAGTGCTTTCATCTTGCGTTCTTAGTGATGCAATGAGTTTTTTATTTTCCAAAACTGTCAATGAGGTTAAATTGTATACAAGTGGTTTCATGTATGATATACAAATATTTATTGTATTAATATTTATATGTGAATATTCCTCTGTAAGAGAAACTAGAACGTATCGCTACCTTATGTATTAGGAGAAATTCATAAAGAAACCTTATTAAGCAAATAGTTAAAAAAATTATTCCAGAATTTCTTTATCTCTTTATAAAACAAATGTAGGTTTCAAACCAAGAGTATATTGAACAAACTTAAATATCTATGAGATAAGGAGTATATTTGGAAATGAAAAATGTTCCTTATAAATAGCAATGATCAAATTTAATTCTAGTCAACACTTACAGAGCAAATAATATGTCCCAGGCATTGTGCAGGCTACCAGAGGTTGACAGAGACACAGTTCCTCTCCTCAGAGAACTGACACTCTGCTAATCAAAAATCTCCATTATTGAGGGTACAAAAATGCCTGAAAGCTACCATAAACTGATGCTTGGGATCTGCAATGATTCACTGTGGGAAAATATTAGAATATGAAAGTGTGTAGGGTATTAAGTGGTTTCTATGAAAGTGATGAAGTTTGTGGAATGAGAAAAAAAGAAATGAGAATTGATAGAGTCTGGTTAGAAGTTATCTGACTCTCTTTATTGACAGATTGAGATTAAAATAAACTGCTCTTGGGAGCTCTCTTTCACTCCTCCAGTGTTTCTCCAACCTCAAAAACCACTTTCTTGGCTGACCTCGTTTTTACTTTTGGTGTTAATATGTGAACCCTCTCTCACCGAATCTGCTTTATACAATGAATTGTTAAGCAAAAAAAAAAGTCTTACCTGATTTCTGTTGTGCTTTATGAAGTATAGATTACTAAGAAGAATGTGAGTATTGATGAATCAATAAATGGCCATGTCTGAATTAGGATAACAGAATGGGGAAGATGAAAGAAAATCCCTGCAATTTTCTGTTCATGAGACACATACCTAATTACAGTGACAGAAAAAATACAAATAAAAGAATGATATATTATGTAATGAGGGAGGGAGGGAGAGAGAGAGAGCAGACTTCATTATTGGAAAAAGAATTTAAGTATTAGGACACACAAAGATGGTGATTTTACGTAGATAAATGATTCCACATGCCTCTTTCCTTTGCCCAGAGAGAGAAGGTCCATGATGGGGCCCAAAATGGTACATTTCTTTCTGGCCGTGGGAACTTAAAGTGGAGACTGGCTGAAGGATGCCAGAGTTGAGCTGAGATTGACTGGCTGCACAATGAGGACCAAAAGTTGAATAAATGGAGAAACTTAGCAGGTTCCTGGATTGAAATTCAATATTGTGGAAATGACACTTCTTCCCAAATTATTTAATGTAATTATTTTTACTGGCTTCACAGAGTACAACTAGCTTTTTACCTGAAGGCTCAGAAGAAGGTGCAATGAGGCAACATAGCTAAAATAAGACATCTTTGTAATTTTATGAAAACTGCTTTATGGCATCAAATGGGAGATTTTGCCTAGGTTACTTGCCTAACTTCTGTTAAAGATCAAGTGAACAGGCTTAAATCGTACTATTATCCCTGATGCATTCAAGTTTCAAGATGTCTCTTATTGAATTATTCTGTTATCTAATCATATATTGGGAGAATACATATGTCCATCAGTTGCATATTCTCATCCACAAAGTAGATGAAATAATTGAGAGAAGACAATAAAATTAGGGGAAAGAGATAATGCATTATAATTTTTCTTAGTGAATTTCATATATTGGAACCTTTTAAATATAACTGAAGGACTTCATTTTTTTTCATTAGTTCAGGCACTGTGCTAAGCCCTTAATATGCGTTATCTTATCAACCCTCAGGCAACCTTGTGAGGGAACATCATCATCTTTAATATGCGTGAAGAAATTGTTTTCAATGTTACATTTTTGTTCTAGGCTACACAAGTACTAAATTGGATGTGACTCCGAAATTTAAAAAAAAATCTTGTTATGCTTTAGAATATATGTTAATATTTTACCTTTTTATATTGCTACTAGTATTTTGAGAAGATAAACAGACCCCAATTAGGTACAAAGTTAACATATCTGGTTATGCTACTGCTCTTTTTATAAAAGATACAAAGTAGGAGAAGCCAGAGTTCTGCCACTGGTTGTGCATTCATGAACATTTCATTTGAACTTCCTTGAAAAAGAAAAGTGTAGAAGGAAATTCTAAGATGTAAATTTACATGCAGAATTTAAAAGCTTCTGTTATTGTTGGTATGCACAGAAATGGTTTTGCGTGTATATCCATGGAAAGAATTGCTAAGAATGATATAGAAAGTAAGTTCTTCCTGATTTTGTCTTCATGGTCTTCCAGCTGAAGAAAATACATTTATTATTTTTTATGGAACATTAGAGCATATACTTTTTAAAATTCTGTAAGACTCTTACACCTTGCGGTTCTTCCAATTGATGGTTTTGTGATCTGGCCAAGATGTTTCACCTCATGGAGTTGTTGAGACTGATGGCATAATCCATATAAAATGTTTATTGACTTGTAATCAGAACTCAACACATGTCATTCATTTGTTGTATTAGTTGAGGGTTATTGTATTGTATTAGTTGAGGGTACAGGTGAGCCAATGTAACAAAAAGATAAGATAACCATGTATTTTTCTCTCACGTAATAGTCTAGAGGTGAGCAGTTTAGGGTCAGTAGGGTGGCTCTGCCACCCTCAGCATGTGGCTTCCATTCTTGGGTCCAAAGTCTTTCTTCCAGTTGGCCTGAATTTCCAGTCATCATGTAAAGGGAAAGAGATGAGGGGAGCAGATACCCAGTCACTTTAAGAATTAGACATTTTGCTAACATTCCAGTGGTCAGAACTTATTCTCATGGCCACATATAACTAGAAAGGAGTCAAAAAAATGGGGTCTTGGGCCGGCCCCGTGGCTTAGCGGTTAAGTGCGCACACTCAGCTGCTGTCGGCCCGGGTTTGGATCCCGGGCACGCACCGACGGACCGCTTCTCCGGCCATGCTGAGGCCGCGTCCCACATACAGCAACTAGAAGGATGTGCAGCTATGACATACAACTATCTACTGGGGCTTTGGGGGGACAAAAATAAATAAATAAAATTATAAAAAAAAATGGGGTCTTTATTGGAATAGCCATATGCCCACCCTATCACAGAGGAAGTGGGCAGAACAAGTAGTGGAGGACAACTAGCAGTTTTCCACTAATATGTATTATTATTTGAATACTATCCTTGTAAAAGCTATGTCTAAAAATGTATTAAAGATATATTAACCAAAATGTAACCTGTATTTATATATTTTAAACATTATAGATCAAGAAAAAAATAAAGATTTCCAGATTTTGAAACATATATGCATTTTTAAGCAGTCTGTATTATGAGATATTTTAAAAGACATTTTATTACTTTTAAACACACGCACACACATTTCTTTAGTTACTTTGCTGGCAAATGGAGAGGTTGATCATCATATATTAATGATAGGTAACATTTTTAAAAGTTAAAGTACTCTTAATATTCTTGAAAACAACTTTTTAAGTTCATGAAACATTTGTCAGCAACCATTTTTTTCATTTAATTTGTTGATAAAATATTTCATGATAAAGATATACCTAAAGTTCAACCAATATCCAAATTATCAGATATTCTAAATTAATAGGTTCCATAGTAATGAGAATTAGCTTCATGAAACTTTTCGAAAAATAAATCGATGAATAGAAACTACTGTTTGTCTTTTCTATAAAATGCGTTTCCGAATCTGCAAAACATTATAGTAAAAGAAAATAAAACTCAGCAACTGTGTCAGAAATCCTCAGTTGCTCCACTTGACTGACCCTGCGCTGGGGAAAGCAAACCACAATGGAAGCAGATCACAGTCATGGCTGGTGTGTGTGTGTGTGTGTGTGTGTGTGTGGGCTGTTTCTTGTCTCCTTCGTGCACTGTTTTCTTCACAACTCCTCCTTTCCCTTTAGGAATCCAAGACTTGCTCATAGCCTCCTCTTTATTACATCAAGAAGGGTTTAATAGTTGCCACTTAGTGACTCTTTTATCTCTCAGCAGAACATAGCTGGTATTAGAAAGCAGGTGTGAAGACTATATTTTGAAAGAGATAGAGTTTCTCCTCATTCCAAATAGGCCTGTTTTTTTCTGGAAGGGGACAAGTAGGGACAAGGGCTTAGCAGAACATGGACTGAGGTGAGG